CACGAGCCACTCACAGCGCTTGAGACTACAAAGCTCCTAAGCACCGGTCGCTGTGATTGGTGGTGTCCAATCGAGCCGTGGTCAATCGGGATCACCCAGTCTGTTTTCTGTTCCTGGGGCTCTATTCTTGAAAAGAAACGTATACGAAAATCTAGGGAAATACTATAGTATACGTAACGTATACTGTAGCATTTCCCTAGACTTGCGTATACGTTTCTTTTCAAGAATAGAGCCCCTGAACTTAAGCCGGTTCCGCCTCTCTGATAAATCTAGGACTCTAATCTGGCCGTATCGTCCTCCTATCATTTTCTTTGGAGGCGAGAGCCAGTGGGTGCATTCAGTACTACGTCCGTTCACGGAGTACTTGTATCTGTTTGGTCTATATTTTTAGATCTAACGGAATATGCCAATCAGATCCAAGAGCCCATTGAACGCTCAGTGAGCGATTGTAGTACTGAATGCACCCATTGTGCTTCCACAATAGGCCAGATGCTCTATTCTTGAAAAGAAACGTATACGAAAGTCTAGGGAAATACTATAGTATATGTAACGTATATTGTAGCATTTCCCTAGATTTTCGTATACGTTTCCTTTCAAGAATAGAACCCCTGTTCTTTTTGGCTGAACTTTTGCACCAGTTCATCTTTCTTTCTTTTTTCTTCAGGAGGAAAGAAGAAGAAAAATGAACTGGTGCAAAAGTTCGATCAAAAAGAACTGTCCCATGATTTACTAGGCCAATCAAAAGTCAAGAAGAAGAAGACCATGAGTTTACTCTCTATTTTATGTTTTGAACACAGTTTTAAGAGATCGAAGCCATTTCTTGCGAAAAAAAGAGCCGATCGTTGATGTAAAGTGATCAATTGCGTGATGATTTTACGTGGTTTGTCGTCATGCAGGAATTGATAAACTAACATTGTGAAAAACTGTAAGTGCAATTTGTTTATTATTCTAATATCTGTCAGTACCACTGTTTATATACATGTATGTATACTTCCGCGCGATCGGACATGTTTCAAGTTCCGGGAATAGAAATTCTACTTGAAATAATTGATTTGTGACACATAGCGCTGTACTTTAGAATTGAAGATTTTATCTAAAATACTTTACCATGTTTTTTTTTACATATAGAAAAAATCAATTTATATCAGGGAAAATTGATCGACAATGTTATCCCGTTTTCTTGTGTTTTAATGCAGAAATACTCGCAATCATGTCCATTCCACCGTATTTGTTGAACCCAAATCCATGGGCCACGATGATGGCCCAGCAACAAGCCCAGATAGCAGCCCAAGTACACGCTCAGGCTGCTGCGGCTCATGCTCAAGCTGCTCATCATGCTCACATGCAGGCTATAGCTGGACCACCGTTACCTCAGATGCCTAAACAACCAGAAGTCTTATCTGAGGATAAACTTCAGGAAAAAGGTAACTTTTATTACCAACTGTTTTTTTTATATCGCATTTTTTGCAATGGTAATCCTACTTGCTCCAGCACAA